CAATATGTTATTGCTTAGATTGTTAGCCAATTACAGACCAGGAATTTAGATACACAAATCTCATTCATTGATAACCAATGTTTTAGAAATACATTTATTGTATTAATACATGTATTTTCACTGAACTTTCCAATAGACTGTTTCATTCATTGTCAATGGCAAATCAGTATGGTGTTACATTGAAATTGACACTTTAATGTATGGGTGGTATGTACACGGTTATCATTTCATTGCTGTCAAAACCATAAAACATTTCAGTGGAAACTTGCATATAGTACTTAAAAGGGTGCTGTATTGTTGCAAGTTGAACCATTGGTTCATGTGGCACTTTGATTAGGTGGATGGATTTAATGACAATACTAATGTGGAGATAATTTGATTTTTCAAAAAAAAAATAAACTCACATTTATGTAGTCCCTTTAAGCACCTCAAAATTTCCAAAGACATTTTACAATCTATGAAGTCCTGTTCTGAAGTGTAAACAGTGTAGTAATGTGGGAAACATAGCAGTCCATGACGAAGCCTCAGTTTTTGGTCAGGTCTCTATAATGGCTCATAAATACACAACTCAGAGGCAAGAGTCCTAACCAGAGTCACAGGAGCCACCCATGTCAAGATGGTAACAACACTGACACTTCAAAAGCAATTTGTTTGTCGTAGAATGCTCCCGAGGACACAAACTATCACTATGGTCCACTTCATCATTAACTCATAATTCTGAAAATGAAACCCGAGACTCAGCACTTATTCTCAGGTATTCCAAAATATGTTGTAAACACGTAAGAATAGAAGATAGTGTGGAACAATATTTTAGTAAATATTCATTCATTTAAAAAAGTCTTCTACTGGGGGCCCAATGCTGAATGTAGGATGAAGTTGAAGCATAAAGGAATTTCTAAGCGATTGGTTCCAAATTGTAATTGATAAATGTTTCAGCAACCAATAAAGATGTTTGTATCTCTGAACCCTTAACATACTTATATTTGTAAAATCAAAGTTAAATGTTAAATATTTTATATACATGCATCTTTAAATAGCCATTTTAACTTTTCAGTGCTGAATCTATCTGTCTCTTTGATTAAAAAACATAATCGATCACAAACTCTGGCAATTATTAATCACTTAATCAAATGATCAACGCATCACTAGTTTTAATGGCATCCATTTATTTTACTTTCTACACAAACTGTCTAAAAGAGTGGCTGGCCCAATCAGTTGAGATAAATAGAGCTATGCTACATCCAAAAGCTGCAAAGACAGTTATAGGTAGTTGCTTGCAAGGATCATTATCTGCCTAGTGCGTCCTTTCCCCTATTTATTAAGTCAAATCTGACTAAAGTAAATGCTTGGTAAAACACACAGCCAGACTCAGATAAACATGGGCCATTTATTTACGTTTGTACCTGACAGTTTGATGATACACGATTCTGGGAAGATTAATTTCTTTGGAAGGGTCTCCCCATCATTAACATTGCTCATTTACACCACCTTGGCTTTGTGGTTACAACTGTGCAATTCCGTTTTCAAATGGGGTGACTTCATTTAGTATGGATTCTAGTTATGATCAATATTATTTTAATTTGTTTTATAATCTTTCAGTTAGCGTTTAAACTATTAATTCATAAATTGACTTTAATGCTTGTTTACAAACTGTATTTTCTCCCTTGTTACTTGCTCTACTTCCTCTCAGACTGAATTAAACCGAGTGCATTCTGTCATAGCAGAGCTGATCTTCAAACATCATATCCCAGTCATCACCAAGACCTCGTTCTTTACATCTTGGCAACATTGCCTGCTTCCACCCATATTCAATCAAACATGAGCTAAAACCATTGTCTCCCTACCTCTAGCTCTATGTTTTCCAATGATTTACTTACTGGCCTGCATTTTCACCACAATTGAGAGTCCCTCTTTTTGTAGTGGACAAACCTAGAAAGGGCAACCTCCACCCCAATGCGGCACTATCCAATTTCACGGGTCAGGGTTGATTTGCTATTCATGCACGCAGAATTCATGAAGGATGCCAGCCATTCAAATGACCCACTGCATCCACTCAAATCAGATCTTCAAGGTCCACGAGTATGAAACCTAAACTGTGCAGAGTAGACATAGTCACAACAAATCTGTATTCCAGTACATTTCCTTGGCAAGTCTTTGGAAAAGTAAGGTACCCTTTTGGATATGGCCCATGGCACCTTTGTGAGCAGTAAAGTTTCCTCTGAGGAAGGTAAGATGCCCCTTGAAACGGTAAAAGCAAAAACAAAGGTCTATAAAAATGCATAAATATATTAACTGTCAAGCTCATTGGAACTATGCACAGGCCTGGCAAAGTCAGCTATTAAAGGGATCTGACAAGAGAACCTGTCACAAACAGCTGTCTAAAGGAGCCCATCAAGCTGTTACCATTTAAAAGTCCTGCCCTTTAAATCTTTGAAAAATTGACTGGAGCATTAAAAAAGAGGCATTGTTTGCTATTTCATTCTGGATGTTGAGTAAGCATGAAATTTCCTTTATGAATTATTGCTGCATGATGGATTTCAGACCATCCATTATCACAATAGAGTGCCCGCAATTCCACAGTTCAATTCGAAACCCCAGTTTGCTACAGATTATTTAAACTGGGACAATAAATAAATTCTAATGTTTGTTTTTATAAGGAATTGAATACTTGCATTGAAATGGATGTTCTTATAAGGCATTATTTACTTGAAGGAATGCAAATGTAGTACAGTAAATGGGTTTCCATCAATGAGAGTTTTTTTTTAAATAATGAAATCTGCATTATAATGAGAATATTCATTAACTAATAGCTAAATGGGTCCACAGTTCTGCCCATGGTGAGTACGAAGTGAGTTGGAATGGTAAGTGTAATGGCAAATGGTGGTTATTGGCCCCAGATTGACATGAGTTGGCACCAGGATGTCATAGAAGGTATAACAAACCAAGGAGTGGATACAGAAATCTGATTCTTATAGATGGAATGACAAGCAGTGGAGGTGGCAGAAGGCAAGACTTGGAATGAGTTGGCACACATGCAGTATGGAAAGTGTGTTGGATTTAAAGACTGAAAGGTAGCTTTATGCTTTGTTCTTAAAAGAAAACTTCAATGTGGAGCAAGTGCCATTAGGCAGGCCATCTACCAAGTCCACCTCAGCAACTTGCACCCTCCTCTTTACCAGCCCTAAGTTCTACTGTAGCCTGCACCGCTGGACTGAAAATCCAACATCTGGGCAGCCATTTTTAAAAGGGAGGTACATGGAGCCAGAAATTCTCCTAACTCTGCACATCCACTTGCAAACTTCCCAAGCCATCCTGCGTAAGTCCCAAATTTGTCATCTACTGACCTGCTGACATGATCTCATTTATCCATCACCCTATAATGATAAATTTATACTGGTTCCATTTAACAAGTTTAACTAACTGCATATCCCTCATCTGCCTATTGTCACACAGAGTCTGACCTATGTATATCATGGCACTGTACCTCTCACTAGCCGCTTAACCCTCTCACTGCTCCATATACTCCCTCCTGCCCCATCCCCACCAACCAAAAACTGCTCCACCTTCTCTACCCATTTTCAAGAGTCTTCTTAAAGTTCATCTTATATTTGACAAAATCCTTGGGCAGTTTCCAAAGGATCAGTCATCATTTTTCACTTCTTCTGAGCAGTAGGACGTGGTTGGCATTATACTTTGAAGCAAAATGTAAATGCAATTTGTTATTGTGCTGAACTGAGCAAATTAAGCTTATTTTTCACATATTAAATAATTTGATTGCTAGAACGCTGCAATTTGTTTTGGGAATTAAATTTGGAACTATTTTTTAAGTGCTAGTCATTACTCTTGTCAAATGTGATGAATAGAACTGGCAGTTACAAGTTTTCCATATACATTATGCCCATGTTTATTCCTTCTGTTTTTATTACCTCCATCCTGGATGATAATAAGGCGTCGATTAGTTGGTTAGTTTATTAACCAATCTGGTCTAATTTTTGATATTGGTGTTAACAGTTAATAATTTTAATTGTTAATTGCATTCTGCATCAGAGGGAGAAATTAACATGCTTCAAATAGAACTATGGCACCATTAGAACCACTTGAACCATGGACATTTGGAAAGATAGCACCACTAACAGCAGACCAGAATTACAGCCTACATTGTAAATTCACGTGTCAATGTGCAGCTGGAACCTATATCTTCTGCCACAGGATGTAATGTACTGAACCAAGCTGACACATATATAAGCAACTGCAATGCCACACCTATGTTATTCTATTCATATGGTGCTACCAATTTCATGCAGGGTCATGTCTCATGCTTTCTCCCCCCTCTTACTCTTTCCCTAATGCGATCTCTACAGGATTAAGCTACTCAACCAAAGGGTAGGAAACACTGTTGATAACAGATTACAAACCCTCAACTGTTGAGCAGAGTATAAATCAAGAAATCAGAAATGTATGTGAAAAGGGTAAGACAATAATCATGGTAGGGCTACATCTTCATATGGACTGAGCAAATCAAATTTGTGGTAATTGTGTGGGAAAACAGTGATTTTCTAGGTCAGTATGTTGACAAATCTATTAGGAAATAGGTCAATTTAGATCTAGCATTGTACAATGAGACAGGCTTAATTAATAACCCAGTGGTATAGAAGTCTCTGGGGAAAAGTAGCCACAATACATTATAATTTCATACCATATTCGAGAGTGATTTGGTTAAGTTCAAAACTAAGGGCTTAAATTTAAACAAAATATTCTATATACATATAACAGGAGAATTGGTTGAGGTAGATTAGGAAAGATGATTTAACAATATGATAATAAATGTGCTGTATTGGGTTTGGGGTAGTTGAGGAATAATGCTGACTCCAATCCTCCTTTCTAGATATTTTTGAATCAACCTTCTCAGAGATGTTATTACACACCTCTGAAACTGATGGGACTTGAACCTGGGCCTTCTGGCTCAGACATTGGAATAAGACCACTGTACCAAAAGAGACTGCTCTCCATAAAAGCAGAGCTACAAAAAATTAACCTAAAACTTGGAGATTTCCTCTCCATGGAAAACTTTACCAAAAGGTGAATGATTTATTCTATATGAGGAGAAAATAGAGGTGAGTCCAAGAGCTCATCTAAATGTCAATGTTGAAAGATAAATCATGGAAAATCTTAAGAAGAAGATGCACTTGTCTTGCATAATCAAGGTAGTTTGTTGCACAATGGCAATAGATACAAATTATGTTGAATAGTTAAACATAATTACTTAAGACTATAAGGAGCCAGTGATGGCACTTGTAGTTTCATTGGAACTTACAGAAGACTGTATCTCACCCCAAAAACTGTATGACATTGTTAGATTGGGTGGAGCTCAAAGTAACGTCAACACTAACTCTTTCAGAAGCATTATCTTTGGCAACAATAAGATGTAGATGTTGGTGTGTTCACCAAGCTGGGAGGTTTGATAGCAGATGTTTTGTCCCCTTACTAGGCGACATCCTCAGTGCTGTGGAGCCTCCTGTGAAGCGCTGTTGTCCTGTTCCGGTTCGAATTTATATGATCTGGTTTTTTGCTGCCTCCGGTTGGTGCCGCTGCGCATTGTAATAGTCGGTATATCGGGTCTAATTCAATGTGTTTGTTGATGGTGTCTGCGGTTGAATGCCAAGCCTCCAAGAATTCCCTGGCTGTCCTCTGTTTGGCTACTAGTTGGCTACTACTCATTGGATACTAGTGTTGTCCCAGTGGAAAGTGTGGTTTTTCTCGTCTGTTATGGATTGAAACCAAGAACATCTAGTCGTGTTGTTTAGTTGCTAGCTGGTGTTCGTGGATGCGGGTTGCTAGTTGTCTGCCTGTTTGTCCCACATAGTGTTTTGTGTAGTCTCTGCAGTCTTGTAAACCACATTCGTCCTGTCCATGGTATCTATTGGGTCTTTAACCCTGGTCAGTTGCTGTCTTAGCGTGGCTGCCGGTTTGCGTGCTGTCATGATTCCTGGTGGTCTGATTAGTCTGGCTGTCAGTTCTGAGGTGTTTTTTGTAACAATAAGCAATTGCAAACATTTAAAAGGATAATCCGTGATGCACTACAAATGCACATTCCCTTATAGAATAAAACCTCTAAATTAACTCTTTCAGAAGCACTACCTTACACAACCATAAGCAATTGCAAATACTGAAAGGGATAATCCATCTTTCTGAACATACTCAATTCTTTTCTTTAGAAAAGGGTTGGGAGTTGGGTGTGAATTTCCAAAGGCTAAATTTGTCAAAAATTGAAGTTCAGGACTATTCAACGAAGCCAGATGTAGGAGTCAGAGTATTACTGACAAGTACTAGAAAATGAAATATGTAAGTCTTTACTGGCACCTGAATAGTGAGAATGGCGTTGAGGGAGCATTGAAATACCAGCAAACACCATCTCACCATGGGAAATATTGATTGGATAGGTGGTGGGCCAGATGGCAAATCCTCAGAGGTGGGAAAGAGTTTTATATAACTAAGGTCCCAATTATTATTCATACAGCAGAAGTGCTAGCATTTTGCCAAGAATGGGATGCTGTCTTATTCTTTTTGAAAGCCTCCAGTTTCATGGTTTCTCTTTGACAACCTGGAGATGGTTGGGCAAGAATGGGGGCTCATTGGAACCAAAGGCTCCATTGTCCCAGGAGCACGCTGCAGACCAGGAAGCAAGCCCCTATGATTCCAAAGAATCGACAAAAGGGTTTCTCCCTTTGACCCTCAGCCTGCAAAAAAAAGGTCATTTTTAAATTTCTTTGTGCCCATCGAACTACCTCAGATGCATTCACCTCTCCCTGTGGCACTGTTGACTTCAGAATTCCCTGTGCTCTGATTAGCCCAGTAGCATCAGGCACCAGTCTGCCATCTTTAGTTGGATAGCAGCAATAGCAGCAGTCAGTTAGGAGGCTGTCTCAGGGAAAAGTAACCAAGCCAGCAGTTCTACTGGCAAGAGGTTTACAGCACCCACTTTTCAGCCTTATGTCAGCCACGTGATGGCTCAGCCTTTAGACTTCACAACGAGGTTGTAACAAAATGTTCTAGCACTGGCTGAATATCATTAAACATTGAACTTGCACTTAAGTACAGGAAACATTAGACATTTTGAAAGGTTATATGAACCACCATATGACAGGTCTTGTCTACTTTGATTGAGAAGACCTTAATGAAGAGATTATTCCACCCTGACCTCCTAGATTGACCATATACAGCAAAGTAGCAATGCTAATTTTCCAGACATTTTAACTAAAGGGAATTAAGTGTTCCCTCAATTTGGATTCTGCATGAATTAGGCCAAATTTTGGAATTAACTCATCAAGGGAATTGTGTGTTAATTTTTTCTTAGCTGATTAAATGTAAGCCGGGGGCACTAATTAAACAATAATATACATCCTCTTCCATTCTGGTTTAAAGTGAGCAGGGCTAACTTGCTGATATTGCTAACTCTGTATGAACAAGATTCCAACCTAACTCATTAATGAAGAAGCATGTGTGACTACTTGTAAATATGCGACTTAAGATTTTAAAGGGTTAAAGATGATTTAGCCCAAGCAGCTGTGAGTCCAAATAATGCTCTTAATAATGCCTTTGGTGGAGGTGAACTAAGGTGTCTGCTTCAGCCCAGAGGGTGGTGATTATAGCGTGAGAATGAAATAGAGCTGTATTCTGTTGGGGATAAACAATAGGGTTATAAAACAAATTAATGATGAAACATGTAATAAAAAAGAAATACAAATAATTAAAATCAGCAAGCAATTAAAAACGTCATTTGTTTCGTTATATCTAAAACAGTAAATTAATGTGCAAGAAAAATTGATGGAGTTTCCTAGTTAAATATGCGTTTGGAGAATCAGTGAGTAACATAATAAAATTGGACAGAAGTTGGTTCATATTGCACAATCCTATTTCCTGTCAGTTACCCAGCTACTGAACTACTACCCAAACATGTATTTCAGTGGCTTGATTCATGACTGAAAAATTGCCAGAAATCATACACAAAACAGGATTGAAGTAACTGGATCCAACCTGTGTTAACTCCTGTACTGTGCTCCTACCAGGTGGCATGTTGACAAGACAATTAGATGATTAATTTCCTGCTGTGTTCAATTTTTAATCGATTATACTTGTGTAATCAGTGCAATGCTAATCTCAATAAAATTGTTCTGAAGAAGCGTTTATGGAGGTCTGCTCAGCAGTGTGGTAATATTTACAATGTATCAGCTCCATTATCACCTGAAGTTACTTTTTTGCCATTCATGAGTGTACATTTTATTAAAAGTGAACACGTAGAAATTGCTTGGCACATTCCAATGTTTAACCCTAAGTAGTTTGCTAACTACCTAATCTACTATCAATTTAAACAAAAAAATTAACCCATAATGTATCCTAATTTTTACAATGCTTAGGGTATAGTTTTTAAAAAGGTTAATACAAGGCCCTGCCAATGATCCTTACAGTGCAAAAGCACATTACAAACTTACACATTAAAACTAGCATCTAAAACTAAAACCTAAAATGGATTATCTGATCAAGTCTGATGAAAACCAATGACCCGAAATGTTATTCTTCCTCCTGTTCCAACAGATTTGCTAGACCCGAGAGTATTTCCAGCATTTTGTGTTTTTATTTATTGAATTATTTGTCTGATTGATATTTGTGGGGCCTTGTCACATGTAAATGACTCATCCTAACAACAGAAACTACATATTTAAGAGTAATTAATTGTGCACGAAGTGCTTTGGGACATCTTGTGTTCGGAACAACATTATATAAATTCAAGACTCTCTTTCTTTAACTCACAATCTCACTGATAGACAATATTTATATGTCCCAGTGTCAGGTTTACACTCCTGTCCAAGGAGAATAGGTGCATTGTTACTATGTTGATGGGAATAACGATGTACCAAGGCAGATCCCAGTCCACCACTCTTCCTTTGATTGTCCAAATCAAAAATCAACAGATTACAACTTAAAATGCTGTTGCATTCTCATCAGCAACCAATTTGCACACATGGTCCCGCAAACATGAATGGGAAAAGATAACAGACAAATAAAAACTGAAAGTGCTAGAAATATTAATTGGAAATAGTAATCAACAATACTTTGCAATGATATTGGCACCAGATCCTTCAATTACCACCAGAACAGATCCCACAGATGGTAATCCTATTAAAGGCTGCCCTTTATCCATCAGTGACTTTTACAACTAGAGGTAGTAATCGATCATTTGAAAGCTGAAACAATGGTTATTAGAAGCTTTTCAATGCATGAGCAAAATTTCATTTGAAAATTTCATCTGCTATGATTTATGACCACATAATATTTCCTCTTTAATTATTTCAGCAGCCCATTGTTTACTATGGTTCTGTTGCACAGAATTATAATGTTATACCTGGACTAATTAGATAAACTGGGTAGCTTTTAAATTCATTAATTTACTGTTTTTGATATTTAGAAATCTGTTTATAAAATGCACAAAAGATCTCTGCATGTGCAAATTAGTCATTATAGATGAGATCATTGGGTTTGCAAATTTATTAACTGTTTTAGGAATTAAACAAGTAGCACAGAGCTAGCAATCCAATTTCGTTGGTGTAAATGCTGACCAGTACTTTTGGCACAAGCTCACTGATTTCGAGATTTGATAGATCCCTTTATTTCACTGCCACTGGCAGTTTCACACCACTCGCACTGTTGTTAAGATCTCCTCTGGTGAGAAGACATACAATCTGTGGCATAATCTGTTGTTTCTAGTTTGGTGACCAGGACGATTGAAGGTGCAATTGGTAGAGGAAAATGCCAGAATTCATTCACTTCAGAAGAGCAGATCTCAGGAGTATGTCTCTTTTAAGGAGATGAATTGGTTTTGAAAATATAGCCTAGATTTTTCAGAGGCTTTAAGCCTTTACAGACTTTACACCTGGTAAGTCAATAAGATTGGGACACTCCAGGGTGTGGTGGGGAGGTAGCATTCAAGGTGGGGTCAGAGATTTTATGACAGGAGACACAAGAACAAGAGGTGCCATCTTATGCTATGTCTATGGTCAGCTTATCAATTCAAGTTATCAAACAATTCCTTTAATCATTGAAAGGCACAAATGTGGATTAT